CATTTTAATATGTAGATAGATTATGGAAGGGGAGGGGAAAAGGGGAGCTACTAATGGTGTCTGTGTTTCAGAGTCTAAAAGCGGGGGTGGGGGCGTGGGGGATCGTAGTAAGGCGATTGGTGGGGATGAAGGTGATGGTGGGGGTCCGTCTGTGGAAAGGCATCAGGAGGAAAAGTGGAAGGCTTGTTGCTGGCCCAAGAGAGAGAAGCTTAGGGGGGGAGGTCTCTGCCACCCTACTGGAGGGGGCCAATAAAGCTAGCAGCACTTTAGAAGGAGAAGAGTCTTTAGCAAAGCATATATAATACTATTCAATTAAACAGAGCGTGACAAGCTTTGTTAGGAGGGGGGAATGGAATACACTGCAAAATAAAATGAGAGGTAACTATCAGGATTAAGTTAAAGCAGCAAGAACAATACAAAACTAGCGCACCAGGGTGTAATTCCACCCAAAAATGCAGATAAACACACAGAACAGAGAGGTTATGTGAAGGCCTAAGTCCACAGCAATAACAGAAATTGGCGATAATCTCAGAAATAAGCTTGGCAGGGCACGTGGGTCTGTCTGTTTTGTTAATATGCAGTGCTTATATGTAGGCACCACATAACTGCTGTAACAAAAATGCAGTAAGAATATCAACCAAAAGAGATGTATGGAGTTAGTCATAGAATGTTACACTTTATTCTCACTCCCTTTCTAACTCTGTGTAGTAGCTGCTCCTATTCCCTTGACAACTCAGGGCGAGTATGCAGCTGTACAAAGTGCTGCTGCGTTTTTGCTTTAAAAAATGCTATGGTGACTCAGGATGATGCCTCTGAGCATGAAAAGAATGCTCGCTCCAGAACAGGAGATTCCCCCCTCCAAGAAGCATTAAAAAGATCTAAATAAGACTCCTGCAAAATGGTGTCATTGCTTTGAAAAGCATCTTAGAGAATGGGGAAAATAACCCCTTTCTGTCTTCATATTCTTATATATCTAACTAGTAGGATTAAAGTTTGGGTGAGTGGATGAGCCAATAAAAATCTCAGCCAGTTGACAATCTTTGCTGTCTGTGGTCCCAGGATGACTTTCCTTTTCCCTCACACTGGGAGACAGCAGCCTTTCAGCTTTATGGAGTGGGAGGTAGAGCAGGTTGCAAACTTTTGGCAAAACTTAAGACAATGAGATTTTCTAAGTGTCAGCTTAAAAGAGTGACCTCATGAACCAACTGAAGATTCCCACCCAATGCTTTCTGAGTGGTAGAGAAGGGCCAGCCAAGGGCTATTTGGAAATTATGACTTCTCACTTGGGATGGGAACCTTCACTGAGGGGCCGCTGCTTGGGGACATTCAGTGTTTAAGGAAAAGGCGCTCAATTATGCACACTGTCACTTGTCCATATTTACCAGTCCTGCACCCTAGCACTGAAAGAGGTTTTGAAGTGGTCCCAAGAAGGCTCTGACTCAGATTGCATTCTGCTTCCAGGAGAAAAGAAGTGTGTGCAATGTGATGGCAGGAAGAAGAAACAGACTGGAAATTGCAAAAACTGAGAGGAAGGGGAAATGCAGAGGAAAGAGCAATAGAAGGTGAAGGAAGTGCAGTCTAAGGTTGCTTCCCGACAAGCATTGATTATGGAATTGCCATGGCATGCTCACTTGCAAGGGGGCATGGCTTCCACACAATGTTTTTATCCATTGGGAATCCTCCTGGATTTTCCTGGTGTGCTGCTTCTTTTTTACAACCACAAGTCTGATTTTTGGGGAAAAAAGTTCAATTTCCATTGGTGTAGATGTGCTTAGCATCACTCTATGGTCTTTTTTTTTTAGGGGCTTAGTAGGCAGTGACTTATGGGGTAGGTGAACCCATCATAAGTAAACATATATTCACCACAATGTTCAAATGCTATTTTTATCACTTATTTTTATAAGCAATGTTGGTGCTAAAATACCTTTCCTGCCATTGCTTTAAAACATGCATTTAAAAAAAAAATAGTGAAGTAACACTGCACTCAGGAGTGCACAACTATTTCAGCCTCAAGAGCCACATTGGGTGTCTGCTGGAGTGAGACAGGCACTTCATGCACATGCACACATAAAATGCATCTCTCTTTCCCCCTCAATCCCCCAACTCCTGCCAAAGAGCCTTTCAGACTTGGCACCAGGCTGGATAAAAGCAACCCAGAGACCTGAGTTCTCAACCCATCCAATTGTCCCGGAATCCTAGCTCCTGACTCTTCTTCTCCTTCCTCTGTTCTACTCTCCTGGAAGGATCACAACATCCCACACTCTTTTACACAGAAAGTTTGCAAGGTTTGTTGTTGTTGTAAGGAGGAAAAGCCCTAATAAGAGGCTCTGTTTCCTGCCATAGATATCCTTTTCCTAGAGCATCCTAGAAAGCTGGTAGGCAACCCAGGACCCTGGGTCCTCAAACTACGGCCCACGGGACGGATCCGCCCGCGCCACCATTCCTTGTCTGCGGCGCGCTTGCTGAGTGGGCGGGGAGGTGGTGGTCTTGCTCGCTCGCTCGCTCAGGTGGTCTCCGAGCAAGCAAGCCGCGGCTGCTGCCTGCCTCCCATACGCACACACTTGCCGCTGCCTCTCAGCATGGGTGGGGAGGTGGTGGCTCACTCGCTCGCTCAGAGATGGTTTTGGACTCGCTGGGAAATCTCTGAGCGAGCGAGCCACCGCCACGCGTGCCTGATGTTGCCTCGCGCATGCCTGACGGTACCTCACCGGCTCGCGCCCCCAGGCACCCCCACCTCACCGGCCTGCAATGGTTACCGCAGCCTTTCAACTGGCCCCCTTTTCAAAAAGTTTGAGGACCCTTACCCAGGACACTCTGAGAGAGCTCAAGAATTGTGCTTCTATGGCAAGAAATGCAGAGTCTGCAGGTAGAAATTCCACCCCGCCCCCCCCAGAGGTGGAGGCTGGTGTTAGACAGGGCTTGGGCTGCTTGCAGCCTTCTTGTACCCTGATTTAGGTGATTAATTATATTAGCAATCTAGAAATGCTAAAAAGCTATTTTAGCTACATGATTAATCACAGTAATCTGAAAGGTGTTTTTAAAATGATTTTAAATATTAGCATGATAACATTATAGTACTATATTCTTGTATTGCTGTTCTTAACAAAATATATGCAGTATTATGTGGGTGTGGCACTATACCTGTAGAATGCTGAGTCTGGACTGTAATTCTTTTCAGACTTTCCTGAGAAATTAATGGGGCAGACTTCTGTGTAGATATGCAAAGGATTGCACTTTGGAAGGAAGTCAGAAGGAAGTCAGGGTGGATTTGGGCAAAATTCTGTGAATGAGGCTGAGTGGAGTGAGGAGGCCATAAAAGGTTTGTCTGGAAGCACTCTGTCTCCCCTGATAGTGTGGAAAGTCCATTGTGATTTCACTTGTAGCTTACCAGGGCCAGGATTCATTGGTCTGAAAACACCCTAAGACAGATTTATTTATCTATTCTATTTATATCCCATCTTTTTTTCCTTCCCAGGAACTCCAGGCAGCTGACATAATTTTCCTCCTCTCCATCTTATCCTCACAACAACAACCCTGTAGGGTAGCTTGGGCTGAGACACTGTGACTGCTGGAAAGTTATCCACTTAACTCCATGGCTGTGCAGGGACTAGAACCCAGATCACCTGAGGCCCAGTCCTGCACTCTTAACCACACTTGCTCTCAGTGTTCAAAAGGTGGTGTGTGTGTGACGAGCAGAAATAAAGAACTGTAAAGCAAAAGGTCAGTGGAACAGAATGACGAGGGGATGTTTTGGCAGTAGGAAAGGAAAGAGAAGATGAGAATAAGGACCTATACATGGCAGCAGCTCATGGGAGAAATAGAAGCGCCTTGCCTGCATTCTTCACCAGTCTAACTGTCAGTTGCCATTTGAGGAGTCTGGGCACTTGGGATGTTTACTGTACCGCTTCCTGCTGCTTCTCTCCTTATTTTTATGGCAGAATATCCATTAAAGAAGAAAATATGGAATGGCTGCTCAGTGCTTTCTAATTGTTAAAATAGGCCATCTCTGTCCAGAAGTACCTATGGTTAATTATATTACTTAATGCACCCACTGAGTCCAGGAGTTTTGTAATGCTTCAAAGTTTAATTTCTCAGGGAGGCAATAGGCAGTCTAGGGGCAATCTAATGGAGAGAAGCAGAGAAAAAGAGGAAATGGAAAACAAGTTGGTGGAGAAACCACCAGGATAAAGGGTGCTTCCATAAAGAGGGCTTCTAGTGCTAGCAGTCACAGTACATTATGCAGCTATACCATCTTTTTTCCTTAATTGATTTTCTGTGGAAAGGAAAGAAAATGGAAGAAGCTGTGGAAAAATTTGTTACAAATGGAAGTTATAATTGTCTGGATCCTCTATAAAATTCTGTGAATGAGGTGGGATAATTGCACAATAAAAGCCTCACCTAGAAGCAGCCAAGGAGCAATAAACTGTATGAAATAGATTTGAACTGTATATGTTCTTCCCTTTTTTTGGTAAGTTAATTGCTTTTCAATTGTAACATTGCTAGGTTCTGTTATACGTATTGTGTTCACCAGCTGCATTTAGTATGGATTCTTCAGGATGCAGTTAGCTAACACCTTAATCTTGAACAGATTCCCAACTGCAAAGAGATTAATCTACAACATGTGATTGAAACCTTTCCTCACCTGTACAGTACATAGAACTAATTTTGTTCTTGGTCAATGAGTTATCAATATTAAAATGGCCATCCCCACCACATACCTAAGAAGCATCACAAGAAAAACCAATAATCTGAAAGCTGGACATTCTGAAGTGCCAAGATTTATTTATATGTATGTATTTTATTGCATTACTGCCCTAGGATACTATGAAAGGTGGGATATAAAAGCTTTAAATAAATAAATATGCCAGGAACACATTTACATTGCACTATTCTATACTAGATAAATTATTTGTAAAAGTCATGTTTTAAACTCAATTAAGATGCTCCTGTCTTCTCAGGGTGTCATATGCAATGTTCTGACACTAGTTATCTTGGCGATTATGAAGGTAAACCATCATTAGCATTGCACAATAGCAGGTAATCTACTCTTGCATCAGTAATAACTAAATAACGTAAGTATTTTTAGACTGCCTTCCAGAGGTTGAAGTAGTTACCATGGGGAATAATTGGTACAGCTACATCCCAAGAGCAAAAAGTCTCTGCACACCACGATTCTGTGAAGTATAGAAACATGATTCTCTGAAGCAATGCATAGATGTTACTATGCATTCAGTGTATAGGGACTAATCCAAAGCAAAGTACAAAACAAAGAGATATTTCAATAGTTATCTGTTCTGTGCATTCATGTTTAAGTGAATACTAATTAAAGAAAACTTGTACACATAATTGTAGAAAAGAAGCTGAGGGAAATGAACATACCAGGAGGTCCATCTGCTACATACCCTCAAATATCACAGATTTTTAAATTTAAATATTACAATTAAATTTACTGTACTACTGAATTGACTCCATTTTGAAATATGAGTGAAACACAAATCCAGGAATAATGTCAGTAGGGAAATGTTCATAATATTGACTGTGTTCACATGACATGACAACCCATCATGGGTTACTATCCACAATAGTTGGTGGTGTGTCATGAGAATACATACCAATTCCTGCAGGGTGCCTTGTCTGAGGGAACAAGCCATTCTGTTAACCCACAGCTTGTTCTAAGGGTTTATACATGTCCAACCTTGGATAACCAATCCTGTTGCCTCTCTTATGAATGTTGCCATGCATCTTGGGAAAAGGAGTTTGACAGGTAGCTGTCAAAATTCTGGGTCACTTCAAAGAGCAGGTTTCAGCAGAGTGGTGGGGTGGGGTGGGATTGGACTGGGCCATATACAGCCATATATGTGATTGGTTTTCTTATCTTTTTTGATTCAGCCTCAAGAAAAAATGATGCACTATCGTTGTAGCCAAAATCATCGCCATAACACTTCTTTGATTATTGCAAAAGTTCAGGATTTAGAGGGGCAGCAGGTGGCAACAGCACAAAAAATTAGGTAAGCAAAGCAGGGGTAAAACAAATCTTGAAGGAGTAAGTTTAGTATGATTCACATCTTAAACCTATCCTGAATAATCTATCAGTCTCATATTAAAGCTCCAGTCTAAACATATTTTCTGAGAAGTATATTACACTGATTTCAATAACATTTCAATAGCATTTACATCTAAATAAAAAATTTAGGATTTAAGTATTTATTAAATTTCTGTTTTAAATTTAGATAGAACACAATCCCATAGCCTCCCAATGATGGGGGGCCATTGGATTATTTGGAATCCCGTCTCCAAAATCCTGTGATGTCAGAGCTGGTACTCTGAAGCCTCAGCCTCCACTGGGCCCACCCTCTTTGCAGCCGGTGCAGAACGAACCATTCTGCTGGTGTGAGGAGGAGGCTGGGGCTGTGGACTTGCCCTGGTTCCTACTGGAGTCCCAGCCCCCTTCCCTCCCCCTTCCTGGCACTTTATCTAGGCAGCCAAAAATGGACATCTAGATAAAAATCAGAGCACAAGGCACAGTGGTGGCACTGGAGAACCTCGATGCTGCAGGATGTGTGCAAAACCTCCAGCTGAGAAGCTCACATGCATTAAGGAGAGGGCATCACCGTTACATTCTATGAATGCTACGGACAGATATAGATTTTTCCTGAATAAAGAATGCGATACAAAGCCTTTCTGAGACTGCAATGAGAAAAGAAAAGAAAAGGAGAAAGGGATGAAGAGCCAACAGTTCTCTAGAAGTTTTCTTCAATGCTGAAGAGGCAAGCAACTTTTCACCGTAATTTTTTTAAAGCTTGATAAGCAGCTTACCTCTTCAGCAGAGCAAATGATTGCTGTGGAGACTTCAAAGAATGATAGTGATGAAAGGAATCTGATAAGCATCAGATGGAGCAGTTCTGACACCCAACAGGTGTACAGCTAGAAAATGCTGCAGACCTCAAAGGCCAAGCGATCTAGAAATTGCTCCTCAGTACACCAGTGCCATGCTGCAACATTCCCTTTCTGTTGAAGGGATTTTCCAAATGTCCATTTCATTTCTTTAAAAAGGTTGAATACTAAACCAAGCAAAAGTTGAAAATGTTCATACAATTCCAGGTTACGAGGAAGTTCACACCTATCTTGTGTAGAAGGTAGCCTAACGTTAGAACACAGCCAAAAGCTCAGGATGTTTATAATTTATATGCCCAGAGCATCTAACTCTCTTTGCCTCTTTCAGAACTAGGCTAGGTGGTTTTCTTGCCACTAGACCATGGGTAGCCTTGCCCTTCAGATGTTTTTGGATTGCACATCCCATTATATCTGACTGCTGCCAATACTGTTAGGGCTTATGGGACTTTATTATATTTATTTGGTCTCTAAACAGCACAATAGCTGAAGTTTCCTGGGTAGGTCACAAAATACTCCAAGACATTTTGACAACACCAGTTTGCCTACTCCTAAACTTGACAGTGGACAATGCTGAAAACTGGTGTTTTTGTCTAAGGACAATGATAAATGCTGGAAGGTAAATGTTCAGTTCCATTGAAAGAGGCAGTTATTCAGCTTTTGGGGGACAACGATTATGTGCTAGCTTCAAGTGTAACATTACTGAATGATGGTCAAAGAGATTGTTGCTGTATATTTCCAGGCATTCCTGATGGAAACAGATTTTCTAGATTTGTTTCTGAGGAGAGGTGAGAACTCCTGTCCCAGAGGCAATCTTTGTCTAGAGAACTATGTTGAGAGGACGATTGTTATGAGTGACCATGGTGATATTTCAGAAGTCTTGAATACTATTGATCATCACCCTTCTGGGTGCAGATGCATTCCCTCTAAAACAACATTTCAGTGACTGTCCTTGGATTCATCTGGATCTTCTGGACTATGAAGTGGGGACTGTGACTAGTTGATATGCCAGCTGTGCCTCTTCCAGAAGAAGAGAGTTCTGGTCACTATGGTAACTGTCCCAGTCATCTCTAAGATCAACCCTCTGAAGTTGGCCTTGGTATTTGTTTGCCAGCTACTGCAATTTCAGCTGCCTTCCTTTCAATGGGGGAGGAAAGAGCACATGACACCACAGTTCCTGAACTAGCTTTCTGTGGTTTTGTTGGCATATGTTGAAGGTCTAAGCTATACAACCTAGTTCCATGGTCTTCTGATTTCAGGATGGGGATTCCAAGTACATCTTTCACTATGCTGGCATCTCAACTTTGGAATTATCTCCATACCACGACCTACTTGGGCTCATCTATATATTTTCCAGATGGCATATAAAGATTTAAAAAATTAAACTAGCTTTATATTTGAGACTGTTTGAGTTTACTTTTTAAACTGTACTAACTGGGACAGTGTTGCTTTATACTGATTTTGTATTATGCATTACTCAGAATATTATTCAACAAATAAACAAATACATGATTTGTATTTTCGTAGATGGCACCATTATTCTGAACAGCAGCCTAGTGTATTTTCTCAATTCTGCTGTTTCCCACAGTGCCATCTTCTGCTGTGTAGTGGAAGACATGGAAACACAGAAAGCCAGAGAAAGGCCCACCTGACAGGGGACCATGCAAATTGTGTGGAGAACACTGTAATCCTCCTGCACCTAAAACAGAAGAAGAAACTCTTGAGTTAGATGCCTCATCTACAGAAATCCATAAACAGCTTGCCACATACATACCCTTGTGCAGACCCCAGGGTATGAGCCTGTAACATTTTGAATACAGTCGTGCCTAATTCATGAGAAAGCATGAACTTGAAAAGCATGTCCTCCAGTTTCTGAAACTAAAGAGGAACCTCATATACATGAACTTCTTATGGGTAGATGAAGGAGATGAAATCCATATAGTACAGAAAGGAAAAAAGCTTCAGAAATATAGCTATCATGTAATACCATTGCATTTTCTTGGAGGAAAATTATTTTTACATCAGTGTAGATGCTATTTTTTCTACATTATACCTGAGAGAGGCTAAAAGTGCCCATTGCTAGATATTTTTAAAACTTTATCTACAAATTGCATGATATTGCCATAAGGTTTGGAAGTTTTGCAGCTGCTAGAAAGTTGGACAGTGCTGGGGGTAATTTGGAAGATCCGGTGTTTTTCTCCTTTTCTTTTTTTCCTTTCCTTTTCTTTTCAGTACAACAGACGTCATTTATGCACAAGCCATATTGCTACACAGTCATGGTCCACAGGTTCAGCCTTATTGTCTTGCTGCCTAAAACCCATACCAGTGAGCTTCCTCAACATGTTGATCTAAACCTTTGGACTGTAGAACAGTAAAATGAGGAAGGGAGAACATTAAAATGTTAAAACAACAAAATGAAAAACATTTATTTATTTATTTTTCGATTTATATCCTGCCTTTTTCCTACAAAGGGCTCAAGGCAGCTTACATAATTCTCCTCCATCTTATCCCCACAAGAACAACCCTGTGAGGTAGGTTGGGCTGAGAGTCTGTGACTGGCCCAAAGTCACCCAGTTGGCTCCATGGCTGAGCGGGGACTAGAACCCAGATCGTCTGAGTCCCAGTCCCATGCTCTTAACCACTACGCCACACTGGCTAAATGTAGCTTCTAGCCTAGTGTAGAGGTACACATGGCGTGCCAACCCATCCTGAGAATAAGCTATGCAGCATGGGTTGTCCATGAAACGATCCACAGTCACCTGACAGATGACTGAGCTCACTTTGGGTTGTCCCCCTGCTACTTTTCCCTTGGTTCTGCAGGTATCCAAGGAGACCCTGTGGAAAGACCCATTGCATCCTCAAGCCTCCTTGATCACAAAGGCTTATGTACACAACACAGGTTCCCACTTCCTTTCCTTCTTTTATTGGAGATCACAAAAAGGGCTCTCCAAGCTGACAGTCAGGGACAGCCCCTTAAAAGTACCCAAGCAGCACATTGGAGAGACTGTCACTAGCTACCCACTTTTCACTTTGCATCCCAAATGTGCACAGCCATTTTCAATTTTGGTGCATGGAGGTTTGACACCTAGCTGTCAAAACATAGGCCTGCTTTTGATACATCTCTTCTTACAAGTCTATGCAGGATTTTTTGACATGGACGTACACATACACACCTGCTTATGTGGCACACACACATAAGTCTCCATTAAAATACTTGACTAGTATTGTCAAATTCCCCATTTTAAAAGGGAATCTGGGCTCTGACAGTTGTCAAAATTTCATGATCCCAAATATGGGGTGATTCACACTTTTCCAGGGGGAAAAGATGCAGGATGCTGAGGAAAGTCAAATCCAGAAAAAAAGGAAAGGAAAGGAAAAAGGAGATAAGAGGATCTTGCTGTATAGGTGGTTATCTACTGGTTACCCCCTTCTGGTAGTAAACATCATTTGCAGCTTTGTTTTCTCTTGACAGCTCACAGTTTGACAGCAGATACCTCCCAGGATGAGGCTTCCCATTTCAGACCTCAACAAATGTGCATCACTGCACTTGTGAAAGTCTTACTTTTTCCAAAAAATACAAAAAACATTTATGCACATTTGGGGCACAATTTTTTAAAAGGTGGTGACACAACAACCTAGTATGGCTTTTGACCCATGACAGGTTGTCTTGCATACACAGTCCTTAGTTATCTTCTGCAGTGACCAGTCTAAGAAAGCTTGGTTTTCAATAAACCATCCACTGAGGCATCTATCCTAAATCAAAGAACCACAAACAAACTAAATAATTTTACTTTTGAAATCAAAGCAAGTGGTACAATCCATCACATTCTACAATTATAATAATTTTCTACATGGGTTGTGTTGGTGCTATCAATGCTATCAATATTGTTGCAGCTTTGCAATGCTGTTCTTCATGGAAGCAGATTATGACTGATTTTGCTCTACTGGTTTTGTAACAAGGATTCAGTCTCTGCTATCTTTATATATATATTTAGTGCTTCTGAACATACATGAGAAATATATTAGACTCTTAACTTGCTGTTGCTTTCCGTTCACAATAACAAAATATGTAATTATTATGACAGCTCCTAAGTGCTATTTCTGCATTACTTTTAGC